AAATTAATAATTAATAATTTTATTTAATTTAAAAAATAAAAATATTTTAATAATTAATAATAAAAAAAAATTTTATCAACCAAATAAAATTTTTTATTAATATAGAGTAGAAGGGGTAGTCTAACCCATATTTACAATACTCCCATCATTATTATCAAAATTCCACTCACGTTTTACAAAATAAGAAACAAAATTAAGCTTTACATAGAGCTGGAAACTGACACCAATCACTGTAATTGAACATAACAGATTTAGATCTCCCCTTTATCCAACCAAAGGTCTTTGTTAACACTAACTCAAAAATAGTATTTTCATTCCAAGTAAGGTTGTTAAACACGATACCATTATGAAAATACCAAATGGCCCTATGCTGTTGTAACAAGAGAAAGCACCCAACAACTTTGAGATTTTATGCCATGCTTAAGTGAACAAAGTTGCAAAAAGAGGAGAGGGGCGTTACCAACGGGAGAAAAAGGAGTTCCCCACCAACAGCATAATCAAGTCTAGATGTTTTGGGAAAATCAACACAAGCAAAGATGTGGTTAATATCTTCCACACTATCACCACAAAAAACACATTTTGGGTTGTAAGAAAGGTCAATAGCACAATTGAGGAGGTTGTCTTTAGTGGGTAGTCTATTCAAGAAGAGGCGCCATGCAAAAACACTAATTTTTGATGGCATAAATTGATTCCAAATCACCTTGCAACATTTCTCATCAAGGCACGGAGGGAAATCATCAAGAAATTTGTAAGCTTGCTTGGAGGAATAACCTGTTGAGCAGTGCTTCCAAATGAACTTGTCAAGTCTTCCATCTAATAAATTAAGATTTCGGAGATAATCTTCAAGCCTCCCAAGCTCATCCAATTCTCTACCGAAGGGAGGTCTGCGCCATTGAAAAGCCCACCCATCTGCATTACCCAGAGCATCCTTGCTTAATGTAAGGCAAAAAAGGCGAGGGAAAGAAAACATCAATGGAGAGCATCCCATCCAAGCATCATTCCAAAATCTAGTGTTTGAGCCATCACCAAGCTTACGGATAAAACCATCATCAAAACACCGAAAAGCTCTATCACAATCCCTGCCAATAGATAAGATATCCTTCCAAAAAGGAGAAAGGCTCGGAGAGGCAGTGTTAGAAATAGAAGTAGAAGAAACTCCATCATAATATTTTCTAACAATAATTTTTTTCCATAATTTCTCATTTTCTTCAGCATCATAAAAATTATTCCACCATTTTCCTAGTACAGCAGAATTCCTAATAGAAAGGTTTGGGATGCCAAGCCCTCCCTTTGATTTCGCAAGGCAAACTCTCCCCCCAATTAACCCAAGCAATCTTATTATAGTCGTTTGAACTCCCCCACAAAAAGTTTTTGGTTAAATCCCCATTTTGGTCCTTGAACTATTGTGCGGAACCCTGATTTGGTCCTTGAACTAAAGAAATCCCTAATTTGGTCCCTAAACTATTGTACGGACCCCGATTTGGTCCCCACTGTTTATAATTTGGCCTAAATTGGTCCTTGAACTATTGTATGGATGCCCAATTTAGTCCTTACTGTTTATAATTTCACCCCAATTTGGTCTATAAGCTATTATTTAACAGGTTAAATGCTTGATTTGGTCCCTTAACTTTAAGAAATGAACATTTTTGGTCCCTCAACAATTTTTTGCACTTTTTTGATCCCTCAACTATACGAAATGC